TGCCTGATCCCCCCTGCCCCTCCGTCTGATTTAAGCAACTTTAAACAGCTGCTTGCCCAATTTTAATTAACTTCTCCTGACCTTCCCATAAAAGTCGCTATGTTTACTACTTTAATTATTTCTCAGTATTATTTTTCATATAATTTCATAATTCCGTTCCTTATTGAGAGCGACTTAATATTAGATACTCAGGATACCGTAACTTAACCTGCCTGCTGCACCAATGCATAACGTATGTTACGAATTAAATTTAATTTGGATAACAGAGGTCCACGTCGTTAATCTGAAGTTCATTAACGAAAACAGTCCACGAAGGGTAATAAATTCCTCTGTGCCGAGTGAAGTAATTGCCAACACACCCATTGCAAGGTATATTTTTCAGTGTAAACACTACCTTGTATGCACCATTACGGGACGCCGAATATCGGCTGACACTTTGTACTAAAAAAAAAAACAGGAAAATGCTACGAGTTTTACCACAGTGATCAATACAATAACGTTGATACAACACACCTTAGTGGCGGGTTTATTTGTGCTATATCAGCCCAAATTATACGCTGAAAGAAAATAAATTTTATTTAGATAACCTGACATTTCAATCTGTAACGCTTTGCAGCCAAACAAAGTTCTCCTCGGGAGCTTTAATATAGTGTCGGAGGAATAAGGGTCTACGAAGGGTCAGGATGAACCAAAAAACGCATGTAAGACTGAACAGGATGGTTTCGAATAATCTATACGTAATGTAAAATAAAGGGAATCAACGCTGGTTCGGGCAGGGCAGGAATCGCACGTAAATCTCGTTATTTAGAACGACAGAACGACAAGAATAATTTCAAGATAGCAAGAACTCAGCGAAGAAGGAACCCTAAGGGAGCATCATTGCATCGAATTTGTGAAAGCTAGAGACACACTTTGCCCACCGGCCCCACCCACAGTTCGATACAGACTCGAGAGATTAGAGGCGTTGGAAAATGTTTTAAGCAGACTAATCAGAGAAAGCTGCATCCCTTAAGACCACTGAAAATCTAAACAAAGTACACAAATTGGCAAGCAAGCTAGTCAACTACTCTAATAAAATGAAACAACATAACCTAAGTCCCGGTAAAACTCCGAGATCGCCGAAGCCTGCGGACACTGCCAGCAGGCCAAGAGAGTTAGAGGCGATACGCAAAAGATAACAAGCTCGTTCATCTCGTACCGATAACACAAGGCAGAGCTCAACCGCCATAGGCGAGAGTAAAAGACAGTATGAAAAGGACTTTTTTGCAGAGCTTAAGGAGGGCCCATGGGAAGAACGTTGCATGATGGCCAGGGAGAAAAGTAAATGTGTTAGACGTGCTAAACGGAGCTAAACGTGCCGGAAGGAGGCAGAGTCAACATACTGAGGAAACTATTTCTCCAACAAACAACAGTCACACCCAGGCAAACAACGGACCCAGAGAACGAGACAATAGTTGTCATGGCGGCTGAAATCCTCAGGGCAGCTGAGCGAATTAAGTGAGATCAAGCGTCGTAATCAGACTGCACCTCGCCTGTCGCGGCTAGTATCTTCTTCAAGTACCTGGAAGTAGCACCCACAACAGCCATAAAAGCCATGTACGAAGGTTCAATTCCGATCGCCTCAAAGAAAGCAGAAATGGTAGTCATTTAAAAAAAAAACGGGGTTTTTTTTTATCTGCCTCATAAGCTTCTTGACCAAAGGCTTCAAAATAATCATCAAAGTCAGGCTTTGATTATTCGTTAGTAATCACTGACATATGCTTTTCAGACAATTCGATTTCCGCAAGAGCCGCCTGATCGTAGCAGCGATACAAAGGATGGTAGCTAAGGCCGAACTTATACATGGCTCGGCCTTTAGGATTCGAAAGTCATTTATGACACTATTCGCAAAGGCCAGGAATCTCTTCAAGAGTCCTCTGTGGAGGATAACACATAAAACGACAACCGGAAAGGCTGCACCGCCCTACTTAGTGCGCGTAATATCAAATGAGCTGAAGCACAGAATGATCACAAGAGATGATTATACTTCTTTCTGGGAGATAATCGTTTAACAAATAAAGTCTTTTTTAAATTATAACATTATCTTCTTTTATAATATTTTTTTAAATTTAATTTAATCTTTTGTCCCAAGGTTTTAAATTAGGTCCACCCCTACGAAATATGCCCTTCGAATATATCTTGGGAGATTTTTCGAGCGTCATAAAGCTTGTCGTATACAAAGATAACATGGCAGTTATAGTGCAGATAAAAATGGCTGTAAGGATGGAGCTGTACGGCAAGAAAAAGTGAGCAGTGTCTCGGAAAGGATGATGCAAATAGATCTGGAGCTTGCCTTGGAGAAGAACGATTACATTGTGCTCATAGGAAGGAAGCGTGTGAGAGAAATCCATCTCCACCTAATGCAGAAATAGCTTATGTTGGTAAAGAAAGTTGGACATGTATCTGGTGAAAAGACTGAGTGGCCTGTATGTAACGTCAATGGCGAATACTCATAAAACTCCCAATATTATAGCAAGGATTCATGAGATAACATATATGTGCTAAAGGGAAAAAGGCAGATAAAGGCTTCTGATATCGGGCGCCGAGTCAGTAAAGTTGTTCGGTTCCTTAGTTTAGTTTGGATTGTTTTCAGCTTTCAAGAGAAGTAAAAAGATCCTCCTTAAGATAAAATGAACGGCTAAACTGTTTTCCCAAGTATTTAGTACAGTCAGTACGTCTACGGTGCTTGTCTTAGCCGGAACACCTCCGAACCCAAAGGCTAAAGAGAAACAGCAATTATGGAACAACGGGTCCGAAAGCTCTAAGAAAGTTAAGCGCACAGATATCATGAATGGGTGCCAGATCGAGTGGACAACCATACCAGCCAAGAGTCCGGGAGCCGAAGTCCGTGACCTGATCTCAGACATCGGGAAATGACTGAGACGCCCTGGAAATTAAGTAGACTTTTACGCAACACAGGTAATTACAAACCGCCTAGATTTCAAAAGAGCCCAATCCAACATGTGTCCATTGCGATAAAAAGTAACGCTGCCCGCACGTTACTAACTTGCAATGACCAGGAACAAAGTTCTTTCTTGAGTTGTTTATAATTGGACTAGCGAGACTTGCGAAGCTGTTATGGGCACCCACCGAGGGGCAGGAATTCGGAGCGGTTAAAGCCAAAGAAGTTCTGAGGAAAAAAGAGTGTTTCAAGCAGTAGCAAGGAATGAGATTCATTCCCAAGGCTGCAGACGAAGCAAACGACGCAAGTAGACCTTTGAATTTACAGGTATTGACACATAAGGCGTCTAGCGAGGAGGGAAAACCAGAGGTCATCATAGCTAATTGGTCCCTACGGGCCTACCACTTGTCCTGCCTGTCCGTAGTATCACTCAATAAAGTTTCAGATTAGCAGAGAATGCAGCTTATGAGGGGGGTGCTTTAGTCCAGCTGTCTGATTGTGTGCGACACTATATGAATGTCCATGTGTCGTTCGGCCCCATCTGTGCACTTCAACGCATTTTTTCTGCAGCACTCGTAAGATTTCGAGTTCAACGTAAAACTTAGTGACAATTTCAAATTATTGATATCATCATGTAGTTATGTTTGACTAAATGTATTTGAACTCGGTCCCAACCATGATACAAGCACTACTGCCTATGTGGAAACACAGGGCATCGACGTAAAAAAAAGCTTATTTTTATTTCATTCAGTGGTGGCTGAAAACGTTCCTAAATTACTAAAAATAACCTCTGGACTACACGTAAATAGTCTTAAATAACTATTTTCTATTTCTATAAAAAAAAACAAACTGTGCGGTAAACTTTTTAGCAATCAGACTTTACGAATTCTTAAGAATACAACAATTTTAAGTCATATGATACTTCTCGGATGAAATTTAGATTGATCTTTGTATGTAAATAAAAGTACATTTGTTTTTAAGCTTGGAAATAAGTGGTGCAAGCCGGCAAACTTGTCTAGAATACTCAGAAACCGTAATAATAGTGGGTAGGTATCTTTGTCGCTATAGAAGAGCTCCCAAATTCTTCAGAATGAGGCCAACTTTGTACCTTTCTTAAACCGTTAAACACAGCGATCTATTATAGACATGACAACTGCTTGGTGCTTAAAATATTTTTCTAACTTATGGGATACATTTCACGACAAATTTCGCAAATTCAATTATTCATGTGAATAAAATTATGTTAACCCTGAAACCTTGAAATTATCAATAAATGACGCAAAGCTGTGCGTTCTGGTTGACCCTTCTTAGTATGTGAAAGTGAATGGGTTTGTGTTATGAAAAATTTTGGTGTATAAAAATCTTGAAATTATTTCAGCCATTCTCGATATATTTTTGAGCAATATTTATGAGACAACTTAGGAGGTAAACTACAAATTAAACAAAAACTACGACACTTGCAAAATTGCACACACAAAACGATGGTCCGAGACTAAGTAGAAACTGACTAAGCATATTTGTTGCGGCCTCAGATCAAAAGTAGAAGTGCTGCCCTTTGTAAGTATGCTAAGATGATGAAAAGAGTAACAGCAGCAAGTATCATACACTATATCCATCTTGTAACTACCTGAACATGCTGCTACTTGAAAACCTCTATGTCTCTTCGAGCCTCTGCTATTAGCTACTTTTATTGGTGTTCGAAACTTGGCAAACAATCCCTTAAGCTGATATTTAGACTTATCCCTACAGATACTCCTCGATAATTACGGGCAGGATTGTCTTGCTATCGAAATTAACCTGTTTAACTGTTATACCATGCCATAAAACATAACAGCTATTTTTCTTACATATTTACTTACTGGTCTGCCTTGAGGTGGTTCCGTATTCAGGTATTTTCTTTTGGATGAAGTGAAGTCTGTATAACTACATTGTGCATGTAGAACGATTTTCAACTATGATCAACAAACTAAATATATTTTCTGTTTGTAGAAAATATCTTGATACGATAGTCTAGTGAGATCACGTTCATAATAAGATATTTCTTTTACAACCCTTTCTTTATTTATCAGCGGACTATAGTACAAATCTTAGGTAGGACCAGACAGTTCAGATATGAGACATACCTTTAATGGTGGTGAAATATACTTCTAGAACCTGGGGTCCTTCCAATCTTCTATTTTGATAATATACAGAGCTTATATATATATATATATAGGGCTATTTTTAGAAAAGTCCTCCGATTGAATTGGATTTTTTTCCACTCCATGCTTCTTTTGGATAACGCTTTTTTTGTGGCGCGTCGAGAGGCGAAGGGCCTGCAAAGTCCTGTAACGTTCCTAACAAAGCGCCAGTCTTAACGGCCTTCACTACCGGTCGCGGATAAATCGCACCACCAGACGTGCCATCACCTGCTTGAGAATTCGACGCTGCTTCTTCTTGAGGAGGTTCGAGATCAGCATAAATGTCAGGTGCAGGGTTTGGTAATTGGAGCCCTAGAACCATAAAACGTGTTCATAATTAACAGAAACCCTTTTCTAACGATTTTTTAGCGATTCACAACAAAGTGTGACAGGATTAAAGCGAAAACGAATTTGATCTTACCAATGTTGCTTGATGTTCAAATCTAATTTGGTCAGAGGAATTTGAGTTTTCTAAGTTAAAGTGTATCTCGCAAGTTTAAATGTGTTCAAAACTAAATGTTTTAAAACTTGGTATTCAATTTTATTATCATTAAAATGGATCTACATTGGATCAGCTGCTTGAGAAACGAAAATGATAAGAAACTATATAACAATAACACATAATTAAACACAAGTTTTGTTTACCAAGTTTCGAGCTAAGGAGAGGCAATGCAAACAGAGAGCTGCTTTGTAGCCTTTGCTGGTTACCGACACTACTGGCCTCTTTGGAGCCAACACTGCTTCCGACCGCGTCCGATCCACCAGCCCTCTCCGCTCCTCCGCCTGAACCATCATCTACAAGACGAGGCCGTTTTGTCGGAATCACCTATAGGAAATTAACAAAACACGCGATATTACAAATATATAGTGCCGACGCGAATAAATTATTTTAGATTGTGCTGGACGCTTCTACAAACTTCTAATATCCAGCAGTCCAATTAACTTATCGACGCTAGTTATTATATGAATGAAGGATGGTGGCGAAATCGTCCTTTACTTCCAGTGAGTGTCTTTACTTCCACTTTATTACAAATGTTATACTCTATTAAAAGGCTAAAAAAAAATATAGTGCAACATTTAATCAGCTTACAGTAATTTTTCAGTGGCTAAATAAATATGTACGGGCCCTGGCTCGGCGTCAACTGGCTTCGGCATTCCTACAGCCGTTGTGAGTTGACCAAAACTCAGAACGGGCAACCGAAGAAGATAAAAGTAAAAGAGAGCCGATGGGGCATTTATCTTAACACGAGCAGGTAACACGGAAAAACTCGAATTATACGACTCGCCGTTTGTGCATGTCCCACACAAAACTGCCGTCAAAAACATTTGATCTTCTGCTGTTGAAATAACAAAAAAATTGAGTTAAAAATGCATTTTTATTAAGTAAAAGGATAGGGTATTTAATGTACAAATACACATGCCTTTGTTATTTGTCATTACTTCTTACATTTCAAATTCACCACACGGATTATTATTTTGCATCGCGTAATATTAAGCTTTGTTTAGCCAAAAACAACAATCAAAGGAAGTGTACTAGTGTCCTTTGCCAATGTTACAATCAAACGCTCATTCTAAAAGGTAAATATGGGAACAGTCTTACGAACCTGAGTATGTACGAGATTCCTGAAGCGCCCCACGGAGGGATCAATATCCTCTGGATTAATGACATCCTCCTCATTCCGGAAATTCACTCGCTTTCGATGGGAGGCCCGCCGAGGCTTGTGGCTCGTATCATCTGTGATACCTATAAAGAACAAAAAATGTTTATTGGCATCAGATGATAGTCTTGAAAAAATATCATGTGTTTTGTCTATTGACCTCAAATTCAGTATTCTTTTCTGAGAACTTCAAGGGTAGCTTTTTAATTTTAATTTATTTTAAATTTAATTTAATCTTTAATTTAGGTAACCAGTAAATTAAAATACAATTACGCGCTCGTAGGGCTTGGTTGCAAAGGTATGGTCGTATCAACGATTGAGGCAAGAAAGGGCGATACCGAAAGTATCAAAGGCATCGATTGAAAAGCAAGAAATGATTTGTAACATTGATTCTGGATTGCAAAACCAGCAAACATATGGTATTTTTTTAAATCTTCAATCAAGAGACCGATTAGCCTCATATGTGCAGGGCGGAATGCGTAAATCCGAACTACGAGCTGTTTCTAAATTATGTTTAAACAAATTATTTATTGAACGAGCAAATTAAACAAAAAGGTTCCAACGAATTTTTTGCCTACGCTCAAAGTGGCATGTCTAGCATAAAGCAATTGTATTTAAATAATATAACCACCAATGAGAACGATTAAATCTTTAATTCAAAACTTAAATAACTCGCAAGTAATTGTGAAAACATATTTTTTAACCCGTAAATACTTCTTTAAAAGTCACCTTGTGTCGTGCAATATTTGTAAGTGAAGGTTGGTTAAAGTTTCACTCAAATATGCTAGATTCCAACGGAGCTAGATTTTAGGCTGATATCAGGCTGAAGATCTAAAAAATGTATACAAAAAAATCAAAAGCTGCGAGAATTCTCAAAACAGCTAACTGTTTGAGCTTAACTGGACAACCTAATTGACAGCTGGTATTGCCCTCTCAAAAACAGTTGTTATTTTTTTAATTGAAAAATCTAGATATATCAAATTTTAGACATTCTGATAAATATTTGAAGACTTTGAATCTAAGCCTTATTTGTTTAATAGAATTTTTTTCCAAATTTTTTGGAAACCTTACGAAAAGACGGGCAATAACGCAGTGTCAAGTTGGGGCACAAAATAAGCTTTTGGTCTTGGCGGAATGTCGTGCAGCGTGAAAAAATTAAATAACGGGTAATCTTCACTCAAATTCTGAAAACGACACGCCATTTTTCATGTCCATAATGAATTTGTTGTTATCTTCTATAAAGAACATGCTTTCCTCTGGTGCTAAGCAAAGGGAATAAGCGCATACCCGCTACGACAAGCTGCTAAAGTGTGTCTGGATTAGAATGTCCCACTCTTTGAACTGGTATGTTGCATTATCCTCGTATAAGTGGATAGAATGGTACAGTTCAATCACCAATTACTGCAATAGTTGTTAAAAACGCAGCCACTCTCTACATTTGGACCGGATACGCTACCCAGCATCGTTACACGACGATTGTGAGCTGTATTGTACTCTGTCAGGTTGTCAAGCTCCAATTCTGATTCCGGTAGCTCGACGCTGATACCTTCCTCTTCTTTATTTTGTGGACGTTCCCTATAAAAGATGCATAATACAAAAGGATCCATATCGATTACTATCGCATTATTCAAAACATGACTAGCTAAAATTTAAACAGCTACGATAAAAAAGAAAGCGCAACGTTTTTATGAAGTTAGATTTACTCGAACATAAGTTTCGGCGTTTTGCGTAACATTCTTTATATTCGTTTCAGTTCCAAATATATTCTGCAATTTGTACTTAAACTAACTTAGTTGCCGCTTCCCGTTCCAAACGATACTGATCGTTCCCGATGTGAGTAATTGATGATATATATTTATCCATTCATTTAGATCTATACCGTTGGTCAATATTCGGTATTTAGGCAGTAATAATAATAAGTGGGTGTAGGTTCACCAGAAGTTAACCTTAATTCCGTTACAAGAAAAATGAAAAAGTCGACTGTACCTGCTTAAATGTGCTATACGTCATCGCTAAGATGGCAATGAGCTAAAGACATTGTGATCTGTATTGTTAGCTATATCTCCAAAGCCTTTTTCTTCTCCTCTAGTTCCCTAATCATAGGACTATATAAAAAAAATGACAAGAAAACCAAATTATAAAACTGTCCTATCCTTATGCTTTGTTTATTGATCAAAGAGCTTAGCCAGCCTTGTGTTTACCTGAGGACATATATCCGGGTTGAAGCACCGAAATGGAATTTTGCATCAACAGGAAGTTGCGTCGGTTTCTGAGACTCCAATCGAATGCTACCTACAGTTGAACAAATCATTCACTGAGGAGATAAAGTTTCATTATGAATGTTGATTGCATATATATATATTGCAGATCGAAAAACAAGCAAATGAAATGGTTTCGTATACTAACCTATAAAGGTCCCATGGGTACTGCCCAAATCAACTAGAAATGCTCGCTCAAGATGTCGGTGATACACTAGCGCAGCATGAACTCGTGAACAACTTTGGTGTTCCACTGGGAAATCACAAATATCCGCGTTTCTGAAATTTTAAATTGTACACGTTTTCAGCAATGCTGGCAGTAAGATCCAACCAAAAATATGAATGTATCTAATTACATAGACAAATATCTAAATCTAATGAGAACAGTAAGCAACGGTTTGTGCCACCGACAAATTTCTGCTGTACAACTCTGCCTGTTGATGATAGAATATGGATGAATGGAATGATGGAAAAAATATGAAAAGGAATTGAGCTAACCAATACTAAATAAATCTCATCAGTTTTCATGCATGAGCTCTGGTTGAGGAATGCACCATGATTCAATGTACGGGCACTTTTTTGTGCAATAAAAATATTACGTATAAAATACTAAATATACCACAAGTTCTGGAAAAGGCAGCCAGTCTACCTCAAATAAATAAATAAAGGTGCAAAAACGACCGAGTGTCGTATTTAGTCCCAGTAGCTTTTTTGCATGCGAAGACTTTGTAAGACTTGAGCATAATAGTGACCTCAAGTTACGTGACTTTGATAATAATAAGGCATCGTTAAATTGTCGACCTTATACAGAACTAAGAACGATATGAACATAAACGTATATGCATGAATATCCTAGGTTGACGCTTATGTAGACTTGTTTTTACACATATATGATCTAAATGTGCTTAACATACTTGCCTCCCAAAAAGATAGCACTTTTTTTGATCGATCATAAGTTTTTGCAAAAATTTGTCCTCCTTGGTGACATCGAGGTGAAGACCCAATGGAGGCTTTCCGGCCCACGACGGAGGATCGTAATGCGAACTCATCAGCCCACATAGGCGAATAGGTTACAGCAGGAGTAATAATGTCGCCTATCACAATACAGATTACTCCTTATTATAAAACAGTTTGAAATCTTCAGACAGAAAAAGAAACGTCAGGTTAAATTCTAATTACAAACTTTTCGTATTTATTTAAACACGTTAGACATACGAACTGAACGGTAGGCATGCCTTCCCCGAACACATGAATGGTTTTGCGCACTTTTGTGTTCTATATTTATAATAATACTTATAGTGCAAGTCTTCAGTTATACAATCCTTTTATTTATCATCCAAATGTAAAATAACATCACTGAAAATAAATGCATATTGAATCTAGATATAATTTTAACCACAAATAAGAAATGAATAAAAAAAAATCGACGGTATGGCAGAGTCGACGCGTAGGCAAGCTGGCTCACGGAAGACGACTATGTTAGAAAAAAATTCCTAACCTAAAAACGAAAACTGTAACTTGTTAACAACCTTAAACTGTATAGCTCAATGGTTATAATAAGATTTTTGTCAAGCGTTTGTTCCTTTTAGATCATATACATTGAAATGCTACACAAGCCAGCATACTGAACCTTCAACTTAGAAACGAATGCATTTATCCTTCCTAAACTAGACACTGCCTGCTGCAATAGTTCAATGGGTCTAAAAAGCGCTTCAATCATTTGCCGTCAGGACGTGCCCAAAGATACCTATTTTTTCAATAGCTGAATAGTATTATTCCGAAATTTACTCTGTCGCATCAGATGTATTGCTACATTTAAGTGTAACGAAAAAAAATAAACCGCTTTGCTTGAGCACTTCTCTTCGAAAATGTTCAGCTTTTCAAACAGAAGGACCGGCCTAGTTGTCGGTCCCCATGTTTATTTAATTGTAGTCGAAGTTGGTCTTAATATTTTGACGAATGCCGAAATAAGTGAACATCAACACTTCCTAAGAACGAAATTGTACACCGACTCAACATATGCCAAGTTCAGAGAGCCATATTGCCGGTTTTTCTAGACCTGCTATCCATGATTATTGACAAACCTCCATTGACGGTCGCATCGAAGATGCGACGCTGCTTTTGTATCGATGGCATTTAACACTTACTTATGCGCCGGGATCACTGCAATTTTGCACGCTCCTCTCTGTCAATTCCTCTCCTCTGTGTTCTTCATAAAATAAATACTCTTAAATAATTCAAAATTCTTTCAAAAACAACAACATAACAACGGAACGAAGCGGCCTGGCCAATGTTTATAAACAAACATCTGTTGGGCAAGGGCTTGAGTGGCTGTTAGACCGAATTTTTCGAAATTTCGGTAAGTGCAATAAACAGGCATTAAAGAATTTGCAGACTCGTCGTATGTATATAATTGTTGTACTGTTCATTGAATGGTGCCCGTTTATCATTAAAGGAAATAATGAATAGACAAACGATAATATCAAAATTTTAGTGATTAAACGAATATGTTCGATACATTTATTAATTTAGAACGTTTAATAATTTACTTTTACTGCATTTTAGGTATATTTAAAGTATGTCTCATTAATAGTGTTAGTTCCACTTGAAACGGAAATAGAGATCAACGTGCTATACGGCTGCTCTTAAGCAACTAATCCAAACGTAACACTGTAGGGAATCTCGCTGTCGACCAGTTTACCACCTGGTACTAAGATAAATCTCGGAAACGTTTCTTTATAACCTTTAAGAATGTACTAAATTGCATTGTCCTAAAATGCATAAATTAATTGCATTGTCACGTCTGTTACGGTGGATGATATAACTGGTCAGTGCCCAACGAAGCTTGCTTATAGCAGTAAATGCTGCAAGATTCAATTAGCGGTAATTTGAATAAAGACCAAATTTCCATCGTGATATAAGCAAGCGTTTTGCATTTGAATCAGTTTGTTTACAGTAAGTTCAAGGTCTGATCGGCTTGGCCTGATGGGCGGTGGAGGCCGTAAAATACACTGCGATTTTTGCGGAATCTCGTATCCGGCAAACGCTAAAGCCAGGCGAACTCATAATAAAGGAGGCAGACATCGTTCTCTTCGAGCTAAATTCTATGAACAAGTTACAAGGGCAACAGAAAAGGCTGTATCCTACGCAGGAACCAAGAAAACCGTGGGTAAATCTTGTTTCATTTTCTCTGTTTTACTATAACTCCGGAAGATTATTTGTACTTGTATTATTTGCTACTACTGTATTTTTGTGCTACTGTAATTTTGTCAACCACTTATAGATTTCATTGCGAAGTTCATCTAATTCGACAACGTTCGAAGTATTCGAATCGATCTTCAGCAGACGTCAAATAGACTGATATCAAAAACCGTCGACGAGAAAATATATATTTTAGGGTTTGGCGATCTAGATGTGTATGCATTAGACATAGATGTGATCATAAATCAAATTTTTTTTAATTATATATATCTGTCTGTTTTCCTTTTTGTTAGATAGGTTATTCACTAATTTCAGAAATGACTGTTTTTCATTAGACAGTTTGATGTATAAATATTGTACGGTCATGTACTGGTTGGTGCATGAAATCGTACGCAAAAGATGTAATAGCTTGCACAGCGTTAGCTAGGAAAAAATCCTTTAAAATGAAACCAGATAAGAATGAACATAAGTTGTATAAGCTACATTTGTGTAACTCTAGCAATCCTAGATCCCTTTAATTATGTATCACAAACTCACTCACTCACTCACCCGTGGACTCAAAAAATGGACGGTAGCCTAAATAATTAAAAATTATTTTTTCAAAATACTGATTTGACAGGCTATACCCACAAATCACCTGGCAGCCGCATATTGGATTGCCAAGCATTACGAGACCTCTCCCGGCGCTCGTATGCTTTTAAGACCTAAGATGTCGAGCCAACAGTCAACTCTTATGTCAGCATCTACAATATTAATGACAGGTTCATCTCAAATACCAAATCCAACTCATTACGGCGGCGAAAAGGAAACTTTTAATTCACTATCTAATAGGAAGGATATAGAGTTGCAGTTACCATATACATATACCAGAAGTGGCGCCAAAACGTTCAAGGGGATAACACCATCATTCTCTTCAAGGACCCCAAATCAAGCTATTCAGAATTCTCTTTTTTCCACAGCACTACCACCTCCATCACTTTTGCTTGATGGTGATCCCGCGGATATTCGCACAAGTTGGCTGAGCTAAGGATGCAAACAGATGCAGTTCTAGTCGCTATATAGGCCAGTTACTTTTAATTAATGGTAGTTATGCAAAAAAAATTGCAGCAGCTTGTAAGTCAAGTGGGTAGATATCTAGTTTGTCTGAAAAACCGTTTGAAACGTTTAGAATATGTGTTATTACTGTCTAGCTTAAAATTAAAAATTAGTTGCTAGTAAATGTATTCGTTGCTTAGTCTTGCTGATGGAATAAGAGGTATGTAAATTGTTATAAGTTGAAAAAAACTAGCTCAATGTCTGGTTAAAAGTAACCCGACCTTTGTAAATGAAAAACGAGACCCACATGTTATATACAGGCGTAATAAATAAATAAAGTCCGAATGAAGTTCCAATAAAATAAAAGTTATCACTTTCTGACTGAAAAGAGCAAGGTTATGGCTCTGAGTGGGGTCATTATTAACACTTCTAGAGAGAATAATGTTCTTCCATTCGTGTCCAGGTTTGACGGAATCGCTTTGAGGAAAATAAGTGTTCTCATACTAATCAGCTCATAAAGAAGTTAGCAGATGAAGATTGAATGCATAAGAATGTTAGGTAATCATAAACTTTATTCAGACTCACATTCACACATTTGTAAAATATAATAATAATAGTAATTAGTGTTTAGCTTCTTCAGGTGTTTAAATCATACAGCAGTTCTGCGCGTTATTAAGTTCAACTAACTTATTTCTATAATAGGGATATACATGGGTACAGGTTTGATCACCCATTTCACTTATTACATCATTGTGACCGCCGTAAGTGTGTTGTCGGTCTGTTTGTCAACTGGCGATATCGTTCATCCGTTTAATTATCTGTCAGTCTGTTCATGTCCTCTATTCATAGTAACAGCAAAACACAGCATTATATTAGCTTGTTATTTGTCTTATGCTTTCACTCACCTTTTTTTTTTATCAAGGAACCACCACTGTAGTTATTGATAATTTTATAAGATTTTAGTCTTCTAAATTGCTCGAAAGATGCCTGCGTAAATTTGTTCTGTTACTTTTGAATCGAGAATGATTTTACTTAGCTTGTGTTCTGCAATAGGTCCTGATTTGAATGATCGAAAACAAAGTTTTTTTCGTACTTTTTTAAGTAATCAAAGGTAAAATTTTAAGATTTCTTTTTCAATTCGCACACGAAAAGGCTACCTTAACGCACTAAACGAATGCAAGCGACTATTTTGAACAAATGAATATAATAATTTGGACAGATGACGTTCAATCAGCTCACGTTGGCCTGCACAAACGTAACGAAATTGCCAACGACGTGGTTGGTCAGCGTTAGGTAAATTTAGTGCCTTGGAAATGTGAAGTTGGCAACATGGTTTACATATCGTTTGCTATGAGATGTTAGAGGCGTAGCTTGAATCAACTTTTTGCCGTTATATTGCTATTATACCATAATCTTTTGTAGAGACTCTCATGAAGCTACTATGGACGGGTAGGCTGATCTAAAGCATCCCGTAGTTAATTCAATTTGCTCTGAGAGGAAACATGGTAAACAGGCTGGGTGCCACGCAGAATAATTTTTGGAAGATTGGATTAGAGATCAGCGGACATCAAGATAATCTGCACACAAGTCATGTCCAAATAGTCGCTAAAACCTATTCCGGTAACGCAACAGGTTTATCAAAAGTAAAACATAAGAATTAAATATTTAACAAAAATAGTTGTTCTATTAAGGTAATTATATGAGTATAGCCTACTACAACGTAACAACAACAGCAAAAAGCAAATTTGAACAAGGAAGTAAATATATTTGTATCTTCAGCGATACCAGCTCCTTCATACTACTGCGCGGTGATGGTTATTTCAAGCCAAAAATTTAATAACCCAGGAAAATAAATAACAAAAATTCCACATATGCAGGCAGCCACGCACGCACGCACGCATGCTTTTCAGTTCATAAATTACCGTTATTTAGCAGAACGCAAATATTTATGTAGCAATAAACAGAGACTAAAGCAAACTGTACTCCATTCATATCAGTAGTTAAGATACCGCGGCTGGTTTATTTTTTCGTGATTACAAACGCTAACTGTTATTATAACATAATATAGACTTGAATAATTTTAATATAACATTCCATTCACCTATGAGTGCAAGGACAGCACAATTTGACTTTGTTGAGCACTGCTATGATGGTTAAATGATCATCTGTAACAACGCAGAAAACAGGCTAGAAAGTTCCATTGTAAAATGAATAACATTAGCACTAGTGCTATTTGTCGTTAGCTCAGAAAAACAATACGGATCGCGTTTACATTGCGATATCATCTCATTGTTTCAATACCATCTAAAGCAGTGTCAGTGTTGTCAGAGGATCAGAAATTGAGGAGACAGCTTATGAAATTTGACGTCTATATCCGTTCCTTATAATTTTTCAAAACAAAGAATCTTTATGTCTAAGGAATGTTTTCAGTTATTATTTCATAAATTGGTGCTGTTCTCAGGGTTCTGTGAGAGCTTGTTGAACCCAGGCTAAGCATAATTAACGAACCCTTTCTTTCATACAACGAGCTGTGCGTACATGGCTCTACCGTAGCAGTAACAGGACTCTGCTCATAGATCTACTACCCTAGGAAAGAACGCACTATTTTCGCAAGCGAAACGCTCTGAGTCTCAGCTCTATAACTTTCCCCTATAATAGATACTCTAATCATTTCGTTATCATGTTCTATGACTAATTCAGGTGTGTGTATATATAGATGGTGGTGTTGCTGCAGCTAAGTGGCCACAGGACACTGCTGAGCGAATGAATGTAAAGCTGAAAAGAGCATTTGCTAAGGATGCTTCGATCTGGCTATTAATAACGTCTGAGGTACATAAACATATGGTCAAATTTTCAGTCAGTGTTCCTGACAATGATCAGGATCATTATATGTGCATACATTTTGTATATCTCTATGTTCGCTATGCGTTATAGACTAGTATTTTGTTTAATTTGAACTGCTTTTGCCTTGTGGTTCAGCTAAGAGAACGGATCAAGCCGGCGCATAGCGTTTGCTTATCACAGGACAATGCAAGGTGCAATGCAAATTGCAAACTTGCAGGAAATATTATAGTGCATTTAGCGTCCGTCTCTCTCTCTGGATTAAATTATTTACTTTGTCCTAAATCGAAGAAATTTCAAAATGACAGCATTCTTGGTATTAACATATAATGTATAAGTATGTATTTAGTAATTATAATCAACAATCGATCTTTGATTAGCGTGTTATATAACATATATGCATATAATTAGTAATTCCCAGTAGTATTTTATACTATGTTCTATACAATTGTGTGTATATGTGACTTTGATAACCAGAGCCATTTGGAATTAATCTTTGGATGTAGATCTATCGCAATGATACTCTTAGGTGTCGCCGGTGCTCGAATTATCTTAACTTTTCAGAAATGTATTTGGTTAGGCAGAAGCACAGTTTTGTAGCTTCATGTACTCGTCTCATTCGAGCTTCTGTCAAAAATCACCGTTGTCTATGTTCAGCATAATCACCTCTGCGTCTCTTACGCTATTCTCCCATCAAATGTCCGAATTCTCAAACTTGGTGCACAATGTGTAAGCATGATTTACTACTATCACCGTTTGCTGAGCGTGGAGTATTCGACGATTTTCAATGTCACCTCTACAAAAGAAAGGTGAAAACCGAAACCGAGAAGTGCTCTCGATATTTGTTCAGTATCCGTTCACACAACTGCCTCTAGCTATTCGTATGGAGCCGATTTGATTTCTTGGACCAAGTTTCCCGAAAATACATAGGCTCCTTCAAGTTTATAAATGCCTGAACGAGCTCTCTCTTTCTTTCCGTCTCTTGCTTCCTGTAGTGCACAAGGTGACGAACATATTAACCGCAGAGACGTTATCACCTGCTCCACTGAGTTTCCCACAAATTCGCATTTTTACAAGCATGTTCGGTAAAGATGCTCATCTATATTTGGAAAGCGTATCCATATTTGATAATGCATTAGCTGTTTCCCATTTAATCAAAATTGAGCTCGTTTGATCGTTTTACCACCGAAGAATACTCGTCGCACTCCTCGCATTTATATATAATGGAAGTTGTGTTTATATACAAGTACATAGACCCGAAACTGATTAACTGACCCACAGATAAGCAGTTGTAGTTAACAAGGTGCAGTGTGGCAAGTTCTTTTAGCAACAAGAGATAACAAAATGACCAAAAAAATATAAGATATCTAAGATTTTGTCGTTGCCACACACTCATAGACACACACACACACTCACACACACAGGTTTTCACTATTTAGCTACTTAAAATTTGATAGATCTTCATACGTAGCTATCAGAGCTCGTTTTTGTAAATCTTTTGCTCTTCACCCTGTGCATTCTGATTTTCCTAGTGATGCTTTGGGAGGCAGTAGACTCAATGATCCAAGTACATATTATGTTCTTCGTCGTACCTTCAATCACCCATCCAACTCTATGTCAGCATGTACGCGTTTTTGTGCGACGAGGCAGTTATTGCCTTGCGCGCCTTTACAGCAACAGAATTTATCATCGCCTTCTCGTCGATTTACAGATTCAGTTCACAAAAGAACTAACTGATGAAGAATTGGTTTCTGTCATTGTTCAGCCTCGTTGGCTTGTACCACGCACGAATGACAGCGAAGTTCAGTGCTCCGCAACTATTGACACGGCTCACTAAATCATCTTGCCGTGGTGGCGTTATTACGGTCGGTGGTACTATTCCGTACGACTACTAACTGTAAATACACAGTCGCAGCAAAAGACAGTCTCCAAACGAAGATCTGTTGATGATCGATTAGCCTCCTAAAATATCACAATAATCCACGCACTCATTTATCTCTGCTCTGCCACCCTCTTAGCCCGCGGTGGTTCGTCCAACGACCAGCGGTTCTATTTCGCCAACACTTCATCACAGCCCTCATTATCATTATCATGATCATTGCCGACAATCTTACATGTCTGCCGTACTGTGAAGGGCACTCGGAGTATACTGTGTCTTCAAAAGCCGTCGAACTCCATCTCCTTCAGAGGTCACTTCCCCCTCATATAATACAATAAATAATGATTATCCTATAGGGTCTTTGGTCAGCAAAAATGTCCATATTTTACGACACGTTGCTGTGACTTAATATTCGCCATTGCTTACCGGACACCGACTACTATGATGACCCAACCGCTCGCTGAAAACCTCATTTCACAACAAACGGTCTACTGCAGGTAATAGTTCTGTCATTTTTTTAAATTTCATATCGTATTGGAGGCACACGTATAGAAAAGAACGTCAGTTTCCCGTGTGTTAGTGTTTAACAAAAACCTGATAGAATCACATTACATTCTGTTAGAGACGACAAAAGATACGGGACTGCACGATCACATACATAGATCACTTTGCTACTTGTATGCTTATTGTACAATGGACTAAGCTTCAACTCTAGAAAAAAAAACCGCGTATTTCTATGTCACAATAGGGCGATAATAACTGTAATTACAATAGCGAATGTGTTTGTTATAGGCATTGGCAATTCATCGTCACATGCCACCCCATTAAAAGCAAACAGGCCAATTCCACGAAACGGCTACTTTGCAGAATCCACAAGGAATGGGAATCACAAAATGTACAATGCAAGCTTACAATGTAACCAACAAATCCATACAGACATTTTCTAAGAAAATGGCCTTTTCTTCCAGGGTCATGAGGCTATGCTGGTGTCAGGAGTTCCTTCACCTCGAACGAACATCTTATTTTCATCTGATTCTTCACTTAATTCTAACGAGGAGAATGTTTCTTCCTTTGCTAAAGGACAAGTTCTACCCAGTTCAGCTGTGCTACCACTAATCATCAGCTCTTCAAAATTTAACTTTTCTTCCTGAGGCGAGGCTTGAACCGCAGTAAAGTTCGGCAGTGACGATAGTGGTACATCAAAGTCATATATCGTGTCGCTGAAACCACGTTTTAATGGCTCACTTCCCACCTGAAATAATCGTAACTTCTATTGTTAACATGTTACATTACCGTCAAGAAAATGTCTAGTTGAATCGCCTAAAGGAAACTGCAAACTGAAAATTGGGACTCTTTTTTGTTTATTCGTGTTACTATCCAGCAACTGTTTTTTATAAGAGCAAGATCCATTTATGCATGCTACTAGCAGTTACTGCTGAACTTGCCTCAAAGTCCTCGAAGTCCTGCCGTAGCAGATCGTCATCATCAAGAGGCATTCTTACTTGCTGTTGCCCAAAATCTTCTCTTCTCATTGTACCATCGATTCCGCTAGAATTTATACAACCTAATGAATGTCCCTCTCCGAGCGACAAACACATGTCAGTCCGAGAACCACATTCTGCGACAGGTGCGACATGGTTGCAGCCTTGACGGCTCTTAGCTTCAGGCATATCCAGCGTAGCTCCCCCAAAAGATGGTATGTATCCAGAGCCAGACGATTCTTCCAAACGACATCCGACCAAATAGCTAGAAGAAGCAGTAGGTTGTTGCTGCTGAAGTATTAACATCATACCCTCAATCGACCCCTGCGGCGAATCCACCGGTGTGTTATGAGTTCGTGTTGGGGCGGCCACCTACAATATCCATCAGCGAAAAAAGGACAAAATGTAAAAACAAAGAATAATCAACAAGTAAAAACATTCGTGTGTCGGAGATACGCAAGTTCCCTAGACAGCTTTCTAACGAATCATTGAGTTGTAGCAAGTATGAAAAGTTCCAGTTGAATTGCTATTTATAGGAAGATAGTTCCAGCCAAAGAATTTACCCTTTCTCTATGGCTTCGTTGTATTACATTACTTATTAATGAGTCAACTTTTAATAATTTTTGAAAGCATGAAGTAATAATTACAAAGTCTGCATAGTGATAACCATGAGAATGACTCGTCACAGTACATGTCGCATTATTATTGTTTATATTAGTGCTGCCACCAACCATAGGCTAAGCGTTGGCGAACAGCGTGTGATTACAATTGCTTTTGCGGCTGTCAAGAAGTAGGGAACAGCTGTCCTGGTTGCAACTGCCTTGTCTATGTTTACGGCTAGAGCCTCCCCTAGTTGCTATTCCTAAGGAAAGATGTTGTTGATTGCAGCCGCTCGCTGCTGCCGACGACGTTGCTCCTGTTGTTAAGTGGCATTTGTTGCATTGAATGCGATGTTCCGGTAAAGTTGCGTCTTCGGCTCGTATAGCGGTGCTGGATGCTCTCTGTTAGCTACAACGAGGGTCGGCCATTAAAGTGACACGAGCCATTTTCGAACTTTTGCGCACCGGACGTCGATGTCGGTAAAGCCACAGCTGTGATAGGATCGCCAGATCGATGCTAACCTACACAGTCGAGAGGACGCATAGATACAAAGCAACTGTAGAATGATAAAACATAACAGTACCAAGTTCTAGACGAAGGAGGACAGGTGGCAGCATTGTGTAAAAATATGCAAGCAACAGGAAACAGTTACCTTTAAAGATTATTGATGTATGGTGGCTTGCATTATAAGTTACCGTTTTTTTTCCAAAGCCTTCCTTTGAAACTTGTCCTGACTTGTTGTTTACTTCTAACGTACAATTCGAAAGTGCTTCTTTTGCTCTATCAGTATACCGTAACGATGTTCTGTTGTGAGTGCTATTTTCACTTCCTCAAGTATGTTCCACATGAAAAAAGCCAGCTTTCGTAACTTTCTGTTCCACGCGTTTCGTCGATTCGCGTTTTGTACTTGCCACATACACGGTAACGCTAGAAAAACTTTTCATTTCGATTTTTCATCATCGATCATTCGAGTTTGAAAAAGTATCCGATGTCTAAAGGGTGCCTCCGCTTTAGCTGATTGTCTGAGACTGATGACGACCGTCTGCAGGAAGAACATGGCAACAACAACAACAACAACAACAATGGTATAAGCAACTCGGGAGTTGGCCGAAGAGATGGGCTGCAGCCATAAGACTGTCGTCGATCACCACAAGTCCCTTGGGTTTTCGTAGAAACTTTGAACTTGGGCATTTTGAAACCAATAAGGAATTATAACTTGATGTTGCAGCTCAGTGTTTCACGCGGTTCACGCGTCACAGAGCCACAATAACCGATTTTTTCGCAGAATTGCCACGAGAAGTAATATCCACATTCAACATGGATCAGAAGCGGGAGCAGACGGTCCCAGGAAACCTTAGGTTGCAACAAGATTTTCATCCAAAAAAGATTAGGTTTTACGTTTATTGAAACCGTAAGAGCCTGGTTCAATTGCAACTGCTTTCTGCGTACCAGACGGTACGTCTATTGAGTTTAGTTGCGTTGAGTCAACCAGGTCCTTCAAGACTCGACAGACAAACGTTAAACCCGATAGGTCACTCTGCCCCGTGGCAACAAAAGGTCACACGGCAAAGATCGTTGAAGCTGCCTTCCTAAACTTGAAATGGAAGGTTTGGTTGCATCTTCAACAATGTTCAATTCTTGTGGAGGCGGATTTCCACCTTTTGCATTCACTGGCCATTTAGATTTGTGGCCGTACCTTTAACATCGATCAACAACTTAAAACATGCTTGGAAAGCTTCTTCGAGACAGAATTCGCTATTGCGGGACAGCATACATTATTCGACGAAAAGATGGGATGGTAATTAGATGTGTCGCATTCAGCAAAGAAACTCAGCTAAACTTATCAAGTTATATAATAGCCTAGTGTTTGTATAATGCAACTTTTCATGAGATTAACGTCCATGCGAAACTGGTTTTTTTTTATTCCAACAATAAGAAGTCGCCCCTGACAACATCAAAAGAGCCGCTACACAAGTTATCACTTCAGTGGCATCGTTGAGTCGCTTACAAAAAAGATAGTTCCTAAGACGTTTAAGTAGAAAATCTAATAGCCACAGCAGAGCGGTTATTTGGATAAATTAACCTAATTTATTTAATAACAAACGGCGATTACAAGGCTTCCAGCTGGCTTCCCGTTTGTCCAGCGCAGTCAGCAGGCTTTTGTCGCTTGGAGCTGAGAACACACGATTTATTGCTAACTTATTGCTGCACAAGACCCCAACAATTGCGTAGCCAAAAAGTAGGGTAGCTAAAATTAACTGGTAAAAAAAAAACAGCACTCGAAGCCGCGAACAAAAAACGGATTGTTATGAGTGCCTAATTGATTCCTGCCCTTTGCTCCTTTCATGTAATAAAAGCAGCGCGTTAAAAACTATGAATACTAAAATTAGCATTGATGTTGCTGCGACTGTGCCTTTATATATTTAGGCGCAAACTCCTAATCTGCTGCCATATGTTTTATTGTTTAATTCGTAGATGTTTTTTTTTCTGTACAAAGGCTATAACTTCGTACCTGTAATATGCCACACAATACAAACTGTACAGGTGAATCTCGTAGAACGAAATATGCGGTCTTGAACACGTCGCCAAACAGCCAGAGCATTACCATCGACGTGCTATAATGAAATAATGCATAAAGGTAAGTATCATAACAAATAGAATTGAATCATTATAAGAAACGCACAGGTTGTGCTTGCTCGTTGTTTTTAATAGGCGTATAGCGGCTTCAATTCCAAATAGCTTCACATTAATTACTTACCAATTTGACATTTAGTTAAATAACTTCCTCACTTATACGTTGTTTCTATAATAACAACTGATATGCTATCCACTGAATCAGTCAATTCTTGTAAAATCCTTCATCATGCGATGTCGTCATTTAAGTACAGCATAGTATCTTTACAGATATTGATCACTTCTGCAACACAATTCAAATAATCATATAGGTGTTAGACGTTTACCTCATTCCTGCCGTCGACTTATTTACAAAGTTTTTGTAGAACTGAGGCATTCCAAGAAGAGCTTCTGTTAGGACAGCTACCAACCCTACAAACTCGACTACGACAGTAACGTCCTGTAAACAACACCAAATTAGTAAACCCATAACGATTTATACGAACGAACAGGCAAAGCTGTCATAAAAGAAGAATCATCAAGAAAGCTGTCATAAAATGCGGAAACACACATTCAACGCAGTAACGCGGCCGCTCTATTAAATTATTTAGCGCAGCCGTTATTATTATTATTATCGTTGTTTGTTCCCTTTGCTTCTGACCTTAAATAGGAAGACGACCGATCCTGCGATAATTGTGAAGATAATCGTACACTCGACGTACGATAGGAAGTCTGTCCATTGCCAGAAGTGACGCCACTCTAAATCTAAAAAAATACCCGCATAGTTAAGCAAAACAGGCCCATAAGTTCCTCTCTGTTACAAACACATAACACGCATTTGAATAATATATTAATATAAAAAGAAAAGCTTAAAATTTAATTTCCGATTATAAAAATAACTTAATTGCAATAATTTTATATAAGTAATTTACTTTAAAAAGTTATAGGTTAAATAGATACCTATTATGCTAAGTTAGCAGCTTGTATCAAATATTTACTGAATAGAATTTCGATTTCTTCATTTACAATGAGTAGCTTCGGCTTTTCCCAGCTTCCTATGGCCTAAACAGCGACCATGTACTTGACTTACTACGTCTGCAACCAAGTGCATATATTGACTTTACAAAATGGAGCTGTTTTGTGAGGAATGCCGGCATCTGTACAAGCCTTCACTTTACGTCCCTTTTGTACAATACGGGTTAGTACTTATCTCATAGGTGTAAAAAAAACTCATTTGGTAAATATTTCTCAAGATAGGTTAGTGTAATTATTCGTGCCATCATACCGTGGAACGTTTTAGTTTTCGGCGGAGGCGTTATAAGCTGTTCCCGTCGCGTCCGAATGCAGAGATGAATCATAAGAAGCATGGCTGTTGTCATAATAATCGACTGAATTAGCAACGGTGTCTCGAAACGTACACAGAACCTGCAATTTAATTATCCAATGGAAAGGCCACATCAATTAATTATACTTATTTTTGTGAACGAAACTCGTCACCTTTTGCCTTTCGTACGTATAAACAGTCCAAACGAAGAATGGCTTTATACCAATAGTTCAATATTAGGGAAAGATCCTACAAGGATGCTTTCAGACTAGTGCATTCCTTTTATTTCCACAGGCGAAACTCAGTCAGTTCAATCGATATTAATTCTATCCGAGCAACTAAAAATAACGAAATTTCCATATAGTAAAAAGTTTTTTTTATTAGCTTAGCATTTATGCTATAGCGATAGTACTAGTGGAAACAAACCAACTTCCCTACACTAAGCTGTCGTAACTATACAATAAAGCCTGGTAGATAGGTCTATCAGTTATTAATTACCTAATAATACGTTTTCAGGCGTCGCTTCGAAGTGGGGAAATTCGAAATAATGAAAAGTTCACTATCTCTGTTTCATTAAAACAAACAGATAGTAATAGGTCCGATCGAAAAATTGGTTCCACCTCTATCTCAGCCTCTGACGATCGAATTGGTCCAACTACATACAAAAAGTCTGACTCTGTTGTTACCGATGGAAGCTAATTCGAAGCTTTGCTTTACGCTCCATAATTGGGTCATATCACTGTATGGTGAGACAAGCCGCTGTTGTACACAATTCTCAGAGAGAGAAATTGTCTGATATGAGCGCAGTCAAAATAACATAGTACATCGGCTGCTTGACCGAATTATATGAGGAACTCGCAGGAAGCGGCTGCAGAACTTTACTAACAAGTGCTGCTTTACTAACAAGTCTTTGACGCCAACCGGCTCGTGTTAATAGTTTATCCATCAACCGTCGAAAACCGTTGGGAACGAATCGCCAAGGCTTGGTAGAGACGATTTTAATTGATGAAATAATGAAATTTTTAGTAGTAATAACGATGGAGTAGATTACTGAGCGCGTCGGAAGATTACTTAAGCATGAGGGAAGAACGAGGCAAAGAAGTGGCAAATACCGTTATCACCACCCACAAATATTCTAGACAATTTCAGTAGCAACAATGGCAGCAGTAAGATTCATGAAAGCTACACCTACAGGCAAACCTTATAGGCAGATGACTAATATTTTCAGTCACTAAAATCGTTCGAGGGAATTTCGTTGGCATGTGCTAGGTAGCCAATATGTATTAGACACTAACTTAGCCGTACGCCGTGTAATTCATATATATGGTACAATGACATTTATGAAATTAGGCATACATTTTTTGTCTTACACCAGCAGTAATTTTCGAAAGATACTTCAATTAGAGTGACAATCACGACGACTACACAGGCATTTCGACACAGTGAGGCTTGTCGGGGCAACACTCTATTTTAACTTGTCTGTGTCAAGTTCCGAGGGCCTATTTGATACGTAAATTGGAAAATTAGGTGTATGTGACAAACAAAGGCCACACCACTTATATATGGTGATATACAAAACTATGCCAGGCCGTATGGCACAACCAATGACGCAAAACAGGGTTAACTTAATAATTAACAGGGTTAAACTTGGCTTTCTACGTAGTGTGTATGGAGACTCACCAGAAGAATATCCTAAGAATATTGGCGACGAGCAAGGCTAAACAGACAAAGGTCGAGAATCCGTCCGCATTCTTTGTCCGTAAAATCTCCCTGTACCTGTGGTTTGGAAGTGTAAGCCCGCGACAGGATTATGAATATAGCGTCCGAAAGTTTTGCATTTATTTAGTTGTCCCAGTAATGCAAATTACCTAAAAATTACCTAAAAAACGTGGCACGCAATGACAATAGTGGTTTAACGTAAAATGATGAACATTGTTCACTGGCTATTAATCATAATAAGGCAAACGACTTTTCTTTCGAACATTGGACCTGGTGTATCTCTGACCAACCCGGGTTTCACTTTTGAAATGCAAATGTGCATGGAATGCTATCACCGTAACCGAATCATTATCGCAGAATCGTTACGCCTGCTCGAGAGACTTTTGCTCACGCATTTTTTTTCTAATTTCTTGGTTCAGCGGACGTCTACGTCAATGATGATTCTGCACATTCGTTATCAAAAACGACTCTGCTACCTGTAGACGCACACATATACGAGGGCTGCGAAAATGATGCCTAATTTTTATTCATTAACATCATTGTGAAGTTTTGTTTGGCAATCGCTTTTAGCTCATATGGTCTTCAGTCATTTTATGTGCCACACATAGAAATTATGTGCCACATAGTAGAAATTGCGTTTATCGTATAATGATTAAAATTCTGCATCCACGACACCTTCAGCTGTTCGTAGCACGTTTTGAAATGAATCATCTTGACGTAAATACGAACGATTTTAGGGTCTCCCTCTATTTGATTTAGTTGGCTTACTTACGTGCTCAGCAAAAGGGCTTTGATGGGTAGTTAAAAATCAATGAGATAAAAGAACAAATAACAACATCGATCTCACAATTAAACGGTTACTAAACAGTTATGTGTCTTGATGTCAATATAATTCGATCCAGTTATATGATGATGTTATAACAAAACGACAGTGCCTATAAACATTGCTTTTTTCTTTTAGGTCTCGGAAAAGCTGCTACTTCAAAGCTATTTACTTTACAGCAACGACAGAAAAGATCTGTTTCTGTCTAATACTATTCATGCATCAAAAAGTTTACTCATGTTAAGAGTGCGTGCACTCTTAGGTAGACACCAATACTAACTAGACGTTACCAATAAATACCGCAAAAGTCTGCACTAATGGCAAACGCAATACAAACTGAGGCACGTAGGGCAGAACACCACCGAACATCATGAAAAGAGCGGAACCATGAGAGATTAGCGAATTGCCCCACGACAATGGAGGTAGCCATGAACGGATTACCTGAAACAGACATCGATCTCAGCTCGATAAAAAAAAAAAGCCCTGAACTGTACACATTACACGTATGTATATTCCCTCACGCATTCGAGTGTAATCTACGCTAGGGCAAATATAAAATATGCTTAATACATTAAGTGTAAGAGCAGTGACGAGAACCTGCCTTGCGTCTGACCGTCTGAGCTATCGATATATAAGGCGCAAGCGTCTCGACACGCCGGCGTAGATGTTGACGGCCATAAAACCTTATATATGTTAAATGCCTATTCTATATTATGAGTTTGATTATTTAGTTAATCATGCGAGGTAGCTTAAAATCCATTTAAATCTTGTTTTTATATATTATCTATAAATATGTGTTTATTCGCGATTTCGCGTTTCGATTGAAGTCGTACGCTCAAATCAAGCCGGACCTTTGTATTCAACCGCTATCTAAACCGCTACAACTAAACATGTGATATTTATTTAACAACTTAATTTTCAATTTAAAAGCGCTGGATTCAGTAAAACTTACGAATTTTAATGATGTATGCGTTACGAATTGCGAAAGTTTCAAAGCATAAAGGTTCTGCGGTAGTCACTATATATGCCAGATAAAATAACAACGCTCGAACACTTGGCATAGCGTGGCCACTTAACCGTCTGCTTGCTAACACCACGGCAGTTTGCTACATACATACCTCCATGTCGCCGAAGCGCTCCAGATACAGGAAGTCCAGCTTGACGCCTTGTTGGTTATCTGAAAATTATTAGACAGTAAAATATATGTAAAAATGGATAGAGACACGTTTAAATCACACTTTTCTTAGAAAGGCATCTTGAGTAAAGCTCTAGTAAGCCTGCCGATGTATATTTAATTTTCAAGTAAAATAAATGCAAAAATTAAATATAGGTAGGCTTGCACGTAAATCATAGGTGACCGGTTAACGAGACATGCCTATATCATTCAGGAGGCCAGCATGTAAAAGCTAACATAACTTAAAGCAGATGCAAACTGCCTAAAGCTAAAAAAAAAATCTACCCTTTATTATTCTTCATACTTTCTATATTTTCCATTATAACTGCTCACCTATACATAACAGCTTAATGCTCCCCGTATTGCTTATATATTACGTGGCCGTCGTTTATGCCATTGAAAAAGGTATCAACTGTATATCGCTTTCAATCAATTATAATACCCCTTTACTCATAAAGCCTATTACCGAAATACACTCGAGCGTAGCTCTCAGTTCTATGGCCTGAATCACCATTCGGAGAAATGTAGTGCAGGAGACCTTTGATATTACCTCGCTAAATCAGACAGCTCGAATTGGTACTTGAGCATTCTGCTTATCTGTCTGATATAATCGTGTTGCTCTCTGACAGTGGGAATCAGACAAGCATTGTACTATATATGACAAGCTAGTATTGTGTACTAAACGAAAATATATATAAATTTATATAAATATAAAAAAAAATATATAAGCGTTTATATCTAGGAAAGAAAATAACACTGGAAACGATTTACTCTACCAACGTTTTTCTTAACCGTTCGTTAACGATCGTCATATGATATTTTTAATTAGAGTAAGACTTGCGCAGTCTGTGCAACTACCTATAGAATTAAGTAGAGAACTCGAAATCTAGGTTAAACATGGGCATTATGTCGTTCTGACTTAGTGAAGTGAATGAGATTTAAGTTTACATTAAATTACAGTAGTGTATATTAAAAGATAGGGACGCATTTTAACCCGACCCCTTTATCTTAACCAAAGGACCGACTATCGAGCGTAATCTGTCCTGTATATGCAGGTAAAAATGTCTCATCGCCGTTAAAAATAATTGCAGAAAACATTAAAAAATCTCGTACATAAAACAGAAAACATAAAAAAAATAATGCTGGCTCAAACAGTTTACTCAATTAAGTGTAGCGCGAATATACATCGAGCCAAGCTTCCAAGAATAATCAGTGACTCTTGGTTGCTACGTAGGTAGATGATAATATACCTACAAGTTAAACGCCGTCATACAAGCCCAAGCGTTAGCGAAAAGCCCCTAAAGCAAAAACTCAGTCAAGATACGAACTCATATAGGAATTATTCTCCTCTCGCAGAAAAACGCACGCTTAAGTCTTCCTGAAGTGAAATCAAAATATAGAACAATCGACAAGCGTCCTCGTGGCAAAGGACTTTCGACTTCAGTGCGAAGATCATTATAACGACCCCTTAAAGGGGTACGCGAATACAGCAGAAGGGATAGGTTTTAAGTAAAATAGAATAGACAATGAAATAGTTTGTATATTATGCCTCAGAGACAGAAGACGCTCGAGACTTTGTTAATAACTCATATTGGTGTGACTAAACGGGAAAGCATTTAACCATCTAGCTTTCCGAGTGCTGCCGTAATTCTAATTGCTACAAAATGAAGCGTTTTTGCGAAATTAAAAAGGTTTTCGAAAACATACTACATCTTTCTACCGGAGATATCTATTTAGCCCTATCTTTTGATGTTGATGGATAGATATTTATATTTACCTCGAGTTATTGTGATATCTTTAATTATTCATGTAGTATATACTGTCTTCTGATGACTGCTAAGTTTCCTATAGGCAAAAAACGGAAAACTACTGTGTCATTGAGAACTACTGACGTGCAATCCTCGACGGATTTTTCCACCTGTACATTTATCCCATGATGCATGTCGAATTCAAACCAACCATACCGGATAGAAGCAAAGTGGCTAAAGCTACTAAAGCACATTGTATACATTTTGATGGCCGAATGTTGTGATATTAGATGGCTGCGTGATCAGTTATTCGAAATACTTCGAATCCACTTTTTAGGGAACTGCTCCTAGTTAGCATGCCAGATCATTGATTTGCATGAAAAGGTACACAATCAAACGGAAGATGAACCGAGATCTCACGGTGTCAGCGGCAGCTTTTTTACATAAATACATACTTGGTACTATCGAATGAAACATACAGGGAGATTTCGAGTTCAAAGCCTTTGAAAATATGCTATTTTTCATTTTGATATATGTTCGTATTTTCATTTAACGCAGTGAGCTGAAATCCACCTAAGATAGCCCAGGGTTCTAAGCCGTTTAACATCAGAAACATTATAAAGATCTTACCTTGACAACGAGGATATCAATTAACTAATAGTTGAGACAACGAAGCGACCACCACCGACACTGACCTTTCTCATTCGTCATTTCTATTGACGATAACACCTACTATTAGCGTCAGCTTAAAAAAGATGTCCAGAACGTAGCAGTCAATGATCAATCGGCGACAGCCAACAAACATTAGTGATACTCTCTTTGCCGTAGGCAGTGGCATGTGGCAGCAGCGACCGGCACTAAACGCCACAGCGGCGTTTTGCGTTTGGTCTCGGTGGTTCGTGAGGATGCGCTAACAATAAAACTAAGTACTTGACGGAAAAGATACCACCGTCACAGACCCTCGTAGATGTAAAACAGTTTTATGAAGAAAAAGCAGTTGAACTCATGAGATTATAATCAATGGCAGTACTAACGGATATTGTCAGTGACCAATCTGTAATTTTGATCTACATCCTGTCTGCTCAAGTTGTTTGATGAAAACGGTGACGCTTCCTGAATGAACGTTCTTGAATAAATAAAAGTTGAAGGTGTAGCATTGATGTAATCCCGAGTCTAAGGCCGAGCTTGATATAAACTTTGCACTAGCACCACGGTACGTTAGGTATCTGTTGCCACGCTCACAGATAAAACGGGTTTCCTTGAGCGTTTAGATTTTGTCTACAGAAGCATGACTAGTATTTTATGTGACACATCGATACAACTGTAGTAGAAAGCACGCACTCGAGAAACTCGAGGACAAAAGAGCCAAGTGATTGGGTATTCCTTTAGAGACGATCATTTAATCACAGAGATAGACCTCAGCTAGAAAAAAGCATAAGTAAAGAGTGGAGATATTAGATGACTAATAGAACTCGAATGCAGCCGACCGAAACGTTATCTTCGGTACTCTCCTCGTTGACTTAAAACGTTATCCTCGTAGCTTTTCGACAGATCACGACAAAATTTTATGCACGTCCAGCACGGTTGGTGACAGAGTTGCTGTTACTGCCGTAAACACAGACAATGAATTTTCATGTTGCAATCTCATATGTTTGACCACCAGTTAACAACAGTTACTACACATACGCAACACGTTTTTTGAATATTCTTCGTAACTCTTTCGTACATGACAATAATCTTATTTTTTTAATTGCAATTGATGGCCACGTACACATGATTCAGTTTTTGTTTCATAAACATCAACGCCCGATTCGAGGTTATGAAAAAGGCCGCTTCCTGTAATCGACAAATTAGACAGGTGACCAGCTATCTACTGCCTCATCATTGTTAGCATCATCGCTTACCATTTGCCGCTACCATCTCTGGCCGTACCTTCTCGATAGTTAATCCAATGAGCGATCCATTGGGGAATTTTGTTGTCTCCGTGGTAGTATAAAATGAACCTTTTTTAGATTGAGCGAGTCGCGATGGTGTACTCACTCCACATATGTTTTCTTGTTTCCTCTTCATGTAGCCGTTCCTATCGATGCTAGCTTTAAAGTCAACTTTAATATAAAAAAGATCACCAAGATGATTTGAAACACATACACATAACCGCAGGGTAACTGTCAAAAGCTGGTACCGGTAGAGCTCGAATACTTTACACTGAAAACGCGGATGGCAGATGGGTTTGAGCGGTCACCAGGAAACCCCTCAGTGTACGCACGAGTCAGCTCATCAGATGTATTATCAGTACTTCGTACAGTCACACAATCTCTATTTCACATATTACCTGTGAAGTTGATAGGCCGTTTCCTGGGATCGTGTCCTGGTAATTTGCTTTGATGGAGTTAATTAGCGTAACAATAGTAGTATTCATTGTTGTCACTATTGCCACTTATGTTTTATCTGTCTAAGGCCGTTGTGTCGTGCGGCCTGCCTGCCAGCCAGCCTACCTGCCTGCGTCTCTCTTTTCTCGTCTGACGACAATGGCCGATTGCAGCTGATCCTCGAAGAGCAGCGACGAAAAACGGAGAGGAACAATGCGGTGAATGGCCAGAACAACCGAATACGCAAGGCCACTCACTCGCTCTTGTGTTCGCGTTCGTACAGGGCGCCGCCATTTTGAAAAAAGGCGGAGTAAGCGCTGAGAGAACCATTGGAATTGAACGCAGAAAGGCCAGAACGGTCTGAGACACGGCTTTTGTATATCATGTGCGTTTTGAAACTACCCACTTACCCTCCTCTATGTTTCGAGTCTTACGTTCGGTATTGCCATCAGACATGCTATCAGACGGTTGGCTTCTAGCACGAAACCAAATGTATTTACTCGAAACTGGACTACAATAAACTATCACAGACGGTTATATTTCGATTACTATAGACATGAAACGGGAAAACTTATGTATTTAACATTGTTCTAATATTTATAGAAGACGAAATAATATAATAGCATCAATTTAAAAACAATAATTGACAAAGTAGCCATCGTGTAGATCTATATAGATTTAGAGAGATATTTTTTCACTTAATTAGTAAACACTGCATCTCGCTTGTCCTAACATAAAACGATTTTCAGGCCATTTATACAAAATCATGTAACTCTGAATGCAAGCACACCATACGTGATGCACGATCTCAGTGCCCTGGCAAAACCGCTTTATTCATTCATATTTTGTTAGAACTGATATCAGAAAAAGCTCAGAACATAGAGACGTTTGACGGTTCTCTATTTGATCATTCATTTAGAGTAGCGGACTCCTTTTTTTTACCAAATGCTGTTGCCCGTTATTTGCGAAACAATCCTCGGTGCATTTATAGTGGAGCATTACGGAGTTGATTACCGCGTGAAATCTTTGCGACGTAACGTTTTCTCTGATTTCTACAGCACAAGGCACTGTTTCGATGATACAAAGCGGGGCCTGCTGACGATAATTGTCAAATCGGCCGGTTACATTATAAGCTGGCAGAATTGTTATTTTGGTCTTAAATAGACATCTGATCTGCGCCCAAACCAAAAGCAGGAAATAAGCTCATGATTAAAATAAGGAAACGTTAAATTACTGCTTTTTCGTTTCTTGTTTCGACTGTAATCGTTCCTTTACGATTTTTAACTTGAACATCTGGCTGTGCTGAATGAAGGCAAGCTTTCGATGTGTTTTCAAGTTTCTTTTAGGTGTAGGCCCGCATTTGCCTTTACATCTTATTTTTAAATAAGTTATAGTCCATTAATTATAAATATATAGAAATTACCAAACGGGTATTACGGAATGAAGACAACGTTCGATTGAGATGATACCGACAATAAACCTTTCTCTCGTAGTGCACAAAAATAGACCTATTAAGACTCCTGTGAGAAGAATTGGACGACTAAGTTGGGTGGAGCCTCGAAGGGTTCAGCACTGGGGTTATCAATAATTTATAAAGAATCGGTGTTATCAAATAAAACCAGGTGGGGCTCATCCGTAGGTATGGTCTGCTAAAGCAAGATAAAAAAAAAAAATGGGGTATATATTCTTCGGATATAATACGTCTACGCGCGAGCTTATGAAACGCGCTACCTAGATGGGTGTGCCGGCTATAGTTTTTTTCACACATGAATGTAGGTCTATGTAAGATGACCGATGGCAGACTCGCATTTCTCCAACCAATTGCTGTTCAGGCATCGCTACCCCATATTTGTCTGTTAAGATCTTTTGGCTGAGCATTGCAAAAGCTAGATCTTTTTTGAACACGGCGAAAAATTTCTAACTGGTTAGGGAAAATGTAATGATGCTCTTTGCTAGTGTAAGTATTTTTCCATTGGAAATTAAGACGCACCATATATGACAAATAGACGTGATTATGAACATTTTTAATGTTATTAATATCGCCACAGTTACCGTACTTGATACTCACTACACTTTAGGCCCCAGAGTTCAGAGATGCCTGTTTAGTTTTATCGAGAAAGAACTCCACGTAATATATACGGTATTAATCAACGCTATGTAATGCTATTTACCATGTACGGGAATACATAGACCCCACCGTAGCTCACAAGGTAAACTTATTGGCTAGAGGCAATGGTTTATTTCTGTTAACGGCGGGAGCTTACTGCAGTGTGCAATTCAACAACTGCAATAAAAACGTCTTGTACGTTTCCACATAAGGGGCACAAGCATTATTTCGCGTCAGAGCACAGAGAGGATCGCCAGAAGCGGATCGAAAGGAGCATAGCATAGAGTATTTTACAACCGTGCTGACATTAGGCAATGTAAGCCTGCTTTTCGCAGGTTTCAGCCAGAGATTAAAGTAGGTCCAGTTATGGGTGGGATGACTTTCCTGGGTGAGTCCCGTACTAATATCTCACAATCTAGGTTCGAAGCGATATAGTACATAGAGGCAGCAGACCAAAACGCATTCGCTAACCTTGGGCAAGGCGTCATATTCTAGTTTGGTTTATCAGAAAACGTCTTGATAATAACGCTCATTTGACTAAGTTGGCTTACAAAACGATGTAGTGGTGGTGAAACAGCCGAACTGCTAGTATATGCTACCATGCATACATAAATGATATAATCATTGCTCTATACTTCTTTCTAATGGATAGCTTTGGACGTTCGATATCATAATCTATATCCAAAAATGCCATTCGTTACGGCATACTCGCGAGTTGGCTTAACAGGAGTTGTAAGAGCGTCCACATAAACAAAGCAACGCTTCTACGCTAATGTAGACTTTTTATCTGCTCATGAGAATCTCATATGTAAAGCGAAAATAAAACTTCTTTTAAAGACGTTCTTGTGGGGTTCAGATACCCCTGACAAATATTACCTTTGCAAGAATTTCCTCAAACAAGACGCGCTTTTAAAATCACATTGTTAATTACCTGATTTACACAGGTTTTATTCACGGTTGATTAGAACAATTTTTAAACGGGGGCAGCCAAGGTAGCTCAATTGGGTACGATATCTATTTGATAGCACAGGAAAACGACTAAAAGGTTACTTCAGGTATTTAGTACTCACAAATTAAAGTAGTTTCTAGTTTGTACGACAGGTTAGGGTCACTGATTATATATAGGAACTTATCAAACGTGCTTACAATGCAGAAATGCGAACTGACCAAAGGCCACTGAAAATTATAGCACGTAGAAACATAACTGAACAATTAACTTACATAGAAGCTATTGGTCAAGTTCACAAGCTCTACAGCTTCTTCAGATCAGGATTTTGTCATTCTGGGTTCTGAAGTGTGCGATTTTTGATATAATTATTGTGCTATGCATCGATGCTTCTGACGCGATATTCTAGTGAAATACTAAACACGTTTAATTATTTCAACATGTACATACTCTAACTCATGACTCTAGAACGTCGCTTACAACGCTGTCGTCCAGAACGGACGATTCGAATTTTTAGTAGAAAAAGAAACACCTTTAATTGGTCCAAGCACGTGTGGGCTGACTTGAATAGATAGTATGCTAACGGATGATACAAGCAAGCCCAAGCTTAGAAGAAATAATGACAAATGTAAGCGTCGAAACAAAATGAAGAGGATCAAGTTGCGGTATTTTAAGGACTATGTCCCATATGATGGTATCTCAGAACAAGACGAAATGTGTCCAACCCCAATTTTAAACCAAGCACAACTATATGAAATGCTTAATCGCAGTGGCGAATGTAAACTCGAGACATTTATTTATTTGTAAAATTATATCATTCTGGTATTATTTATAGGTTTACATAGATAAAAATGCGCTACGTCTTCATGCTTTATTTTACGCGGTTTTTTTTAGCTTGCCTATTATCTCATAACAGTGCAAAGAAAATACTGGGCTTGTGCCCGATCTGTACTTAACTAATTTAATTAACGCGTCCTAACCTATAAAAGCACAAACTTTCTGGTGCTTGAGTAGTGCAAAATTCAAGACCGAATCGCCTATCCTCCTGGAAAACCGTGAGAGACTTGTGTGAAGCTAAAAACAATTTCCTTTCTAATGTTTGGTACAGACAGCCGAAACTTCTACTAGTACAATATCAGAGATACTACAGGATATCAGAGATAGATGTGTTGCTTACATGTTTTTGGGATCTCATAATGATTGTGAGGATGATACTTGCTACAAATTCAACGGTTCGTGGAAATAGAATCGTCACAATGTTATTATGTTATGTCACATATCAGAAAACTTCGATATACGATCAGAAACACTTTGTGCCTAATCTTGCAATTTTAATACAAGAGTTTATATACCCGCTCACCTTATTATCTATGTTTTCAGTGAATCTGTTGTGTCTGCGTTGTAACTGAAGAAAGAGAAACTCTTACTTATTAGGGTAGTCAGACTCTCGATATTATTTTCGGCTTTTAAGAGCCTTTCCCAGAATACTAGCAAAATATTATACTCTTGTTACATAATGACTTGGTGTTTTACATAGAGCCATTACTTAGGGTTGACATCTGGGACTTTATAGGTTCTTGGCTTTACTTCGCTGCCATCCCTCTGACTGCTGTTGCAAATCACAGTAGGTTCATATCGATTAGTCCTTTATAAGTAGTGCTAATTGCAAGCAGTGAACTTTAAAAGTAGATAGGTCTCTCTATTCACCCGAAACACACTAGACAATTTGTATGAATGAATAAAATCAACATTTAGATACATAAAAATAGAGATAAATTATTTTCCTTACCTTGCCTTAATCAGGCCACTTGTACAAAATGAGCTCTGTTTTTAGTTTAATGCGCTTGTACGATTCTGAAACTCTTATCTATTACAACTCTCATTAGTAACTTTTGACGATGAATGAGGTAGTGAATATAAAGCGGGCTAGACGCATGTCACTGGTTTATTCCTATGAGACCATTTCACTACTGGTAATTTTAGAAGCGATAACTTACGTTTTCTATAACTGTAATTATGCCGAAATGAGGCCATCACCATTTAATGCCGCTAAAGAAGAATGACCTGTACCGTAGCTTGACCTTAGATCGTATTCAATTACAAATTTCTATGAAGTTTTCGTATCTGAAATTTGTTTTCGATCTCGTTTCTTTCTCTACAATTTGTTTTGACTTAATCCCTTTAAATTAGGGGTTTGTTAGATATGGCATTTTTGGGGGGCAAATCCTT